TTTTTTGAGACGGAGTTTCACTCATGTTACCCAGGCTGGAGTGCAATGGCGCGATCTCGGCTCACCGCAACCTCCGCCTCCTGGGTTCAGGCAATTCTCCTGCCTCAGCCTCCTGAGTAGCTGGGATTACAGGCATGCACCACCATGCCCAGCTAATTTTTTGTATTTTTAATAGAGACGGGGTTTCACCATGTTGACCAGGATGGTCTCGATCTCTTGACCTCGTGATCCACCTGCCTCGGCCTCCCAAAGTGCTGGGATTACAGGCTTGAGCCACCGCACCCGGCTTGATTGATTTTTGAATGTTAAATCAATCTTTTTCTTTTTTTTTTTTTCATTTCAATCTTCTTTAATTTCTTTCTTTTTTTTAATTGCATTTAAGTTTTGGGGCACATGTGAAGAACATGCAAGATTGTTGCATAGGTACAAACATGGCAGTGTGATTTGCTGCCTTCCTCCCCTTCACCTGTAAAATCAACCTTTTTCCCTGAAATAACCCTAACCCCACTTGGTCATGATATGTCATACTTTTAAATCATTGTTGAATTCAGTTTGTAAAATTGTGTTAAGAATATTTGCATCGATGTTTATAAGGGTACTGATCTATTGTTTTTTTTCTTTGTCTGGTTTGATATTCCAAGAAATATCGGCCTAAGAATTGTTAAGTGTTTCCTCCTCTTTAATTTTATGGACGTGTTTGTGTAGAATTTGTCTTATTTCTTCCTTAGATGATTGGCAAAAATCACAGCGATGCCATCAGGACCTATGGTTTCTTTGTGGGAAGGTTTTTACCTATAAATTTTATTTCTTTAATATATATTCTTTAAGGTTGGCGTGGTGGCTCATGCCTGTATTCCTAGCACTTTGGGAGGCCAAGGCTGGAGGATCACTTGAGGTCAGGAGTTTGAAAGCAGCCTGGCCAACATGGTGAAAGCCCTTCTCTACTAAAAATACAAAAAAATTAGCCAGGCATGGTGGCAGGCACCTGTAATCCCAGCTACGTGGGAGGCTGAGGCAAGAGAATTGCTTGAACCTAGGAGATGGAAGTTGCAGTGAACCAAGATTGCACCACTGCACTCCAGCCTGGATGACAGAGTGAGTGAGACACTCACACTCCCTCTTTCTCTCCCTCTCCCTCTCTCTCTCTCTCTCTCTCTACATATGTGTGTGTGTATGTGCGTGTGTGTGTATATATATACACACGGACACACACACATATAAAGAATATATATATGCTCTTTAATAGAGCATCTGTTTCTTCTTTATTTGCTTTAGTAATTTGTTTTTTCTCAGGAAGTTTTCTCATTTTATCTAAGTTGTTTACTGTGTTAACATAAAGCTGCTCATAATAGTCTCTCAACACTATTTTTGTTGTTGTTGTTTGAGACGGAGTCTCGCTCTGTGGCTCAGGCTGGACTGCAGTGGCACAATCGCGGCTCACTGTGATCTCCACTCCCAGCTTCAAGGGATTCTCCCGCCTCAGCTTCCTGAGTAGCTGGGACTGCAGGTGTGCGCCACCATGGCTGGCTAATTTTTGTATTTTTAGTAGAGATGAGGTTTCACCATGTTAGCCAGGCTGGTCTCGAATTCCTGACCTAAGGTGATCTGCCTGCCTTAGCCTCCCAAAGTGCTGAGATTACAGGCGTGAGCCACTGCAACCGACCCCTCAATACTCCGAATCTCTGTAGATCTGTATTAATGACACCTCTCCTGATAGTGATAATTTGTCTTTTTTTTGTTGTTGTCATGGTCATTCTGGCTGGAGATTCAACAGTTTATTGATCTCAAATAACTGGTTTTTAGGTTTATGGATTTTTCTTTATAATTTATCATTTTCTATTTTCTCATTGTACAATCACCTTTTATAATGTTCTTTCTTCTGCCCACAGAAGAAAAATGAAATAAAGTGTGTTTTATTTGCTCTTCTTTATTCAGTTTCTTCAGTAGAAAGCTGGGGTTTTATTTGAGACCTTTCTTCTTTTCTAATATAGATGTTTATGCTAGAGATTTTTCTTTTCTTTCTTTTTTTTTTTTTTTTTTGAGACAGAGTTTCGCTCTTGTTACCCAGGCTGGAGTGCAATGGCGCGATCTCGGCTCACCGCAACCTCCGCCTCCCGGGTTCAGGCAATTCTCCTGCCTCAGCCTCCTGAGTAGCTGGGACTACAGGCACATGCCACCATGCCCAGCTGATTTTTTGTATTTTTAGTAGAGACGGCGTTTCACCATGTTGACCAGGATGGTCTCGATCTCTTGACCTCGTGATCCACCCACCTCGGCCTCCCAAAGTGCTGGGATTACAGGCGTGAGCCACCGCGCCCGGCCAAGATTTTTCTTAAAGCAGTGCATTAGCTGTATCCTACACATTTTAAATCTCACACTTAGTTGTGTCATTTCCATTCAGTTCAAAATACTTTCTAATTTAACTTTTGATGTCTTCATTGACCCATGGGCTATTTAGAACTGTGTTATTTAGTTTCCAACAATTTGGGAAGTTTCTAGATATCTTAGTGGTTATCAATGCGTAATTTGGCTTTATTGTGGAAAGAGAACATACAATATATGACTTGAATTCTTTTTAATTTATTGAAACTTGTTTTGTGGCCAGAAGATGGTAACATTATGCGTGTTTGAGAAAGGAATGTTGGCTAGGTGCAGTGTCTCACACCTGTAATCTCAGCACTTTGGGAGGCTGAGGCAGGCGGATCATCTGAGGTCGGGAGTTTGAGACCAGCCTGACCAAAATAGAGAAACCCATCTCTACTAAAAGTACAAAATTAGCCAGGTGTGGTGGCGCATGCCTGTAATCCCAGCTATTCGGTAGGCTGAGGCAGGAGAACCGCTTGAACCTGGGAGGCAGAGGTTGCAGTGAGCTGAGATTGTGCTATTGCACTCCAGCCTGGGCAACAAGAGTGAAACTCCCATCTCAAAAAAAAAAAAAAAAAAAAAAGAGGTTTATTCAGCTCTTAGTGGGTGGAATGCTCCATAAATATCAACCAGGTCAAGTTAGGTGATAGTCTTGTTCAAGTCTACCATATCCTTGCTCATTTTCTGCCTTCTTATTCTATCAATTTTTAAGAATGGAGTGCTGAAATCTCCAACTGGAATTTATTTGTCTGTTTTTCCTTACAATTCAAGTTTTGCTTCATGTATTTTGAAACTTTTTTATTTGGTACACAAATATCTAAAATTGTGTACTCCTGTGTAATTGAACCTTTATCATAATAAGATATAATATTCTTTGTTCTAAAATCTATTTGATTGCCAGCTCTCTTTTGGTTAGTGTTTGCATTGTATTTATACATATATATATATATATATATAAAATTTTTAAAATTCTTTTTCCTTTATCCTATTTTTGTCTTCATGTTTAAAGTAGGTTTCTTGTAGGTGGCATGTAGCTGAGTCTTTTTTAATCCAACCTGATATTTGACTTTTAATTGGGGTAGTAGATCATTTTCATTCAATGTGATTATTAAAATGATTTGGTCTAAACCTCCCACCTTGTTATTTGTTTTCTATTTCTCTCATTTGCTGTTTCCTTTCCTTTTGTTTTATTTTTTGCCTTCTTTTGGATTAACCAAACTTTTTATGATGCAGTTTTTTCCCTTGTTGGCTTATTAACTGTAACTCTTGTGTGATTTTGGTGTTGCTTTGTGATTCTTATTACACAACTTTAACTTACTAGGGTCACCTGTTCACTTGCAGCAGTCTGCCTCTGTTTCTCTCCTCTCTTTATGTGGTTTTCTTGCATTTTATTCTACATGTGTTATAAACCTTACAATACAGAGTACTATTTTTTGCATTAAACAATGCTTTTAAAAATATTTAAATAATGAGAAAAAATTACATTTGCTCATATCTTTATCACTTCGATTACTGCTATTTCTTTAAGTAGATGCAGACTCAATCTGTTGTTTTTTTTTTTTTTTTTTTTGCCCCCCTCACAAAAAAATTTTTTAACTTTTTTTTTTTTTTTTTTTTTTTTTGAGAGGGAGTTTCCCTCTTGTTACCCAGGCTGGAGTGCAATGGCACAATCTCGGCTCACCGCAACCTCCGCCTCCCGGGTTCAGGCAATTCTCCTGCCTCAGCCTCCTGAGTAGCTGGGATACAGGCACGTGCCACCATGCCAAGCTAATTTTTTGTATTTTTAGTAGAGACGGGGTTTCACCATGTTGACCAGGATGGTCTCGATCTCTTGACCTCGTGATCCACCCGCCTCGGCCTCCCAAAGTGCTGGGATTACAGGCTTGAGCCACCGCGCCCGGCCCCTTTAACATTTTCTTGAGTGTATGTGTGTTGGTGATACCTTCTTTCAGTTTTTGTATGTCTTTAGAAGTCATTATTTTATTTTTTTTAAGGATCTTTTTTACTGGAAAGAATTCTAGATTGACAGTTTCCCCCGCACCCTTTAACTTTAAAGACGTTGTCCTATTGTATTTTAGCTTATATTGTCTCCAACAGGAAATCTGCAGTCATTCTTTTCCTTGTTCCTCTATACATAATATCTTTTTCCTCTGGCTGCTTTTAAGATTTTCTCTTTATCACTAATTTTAAGAAACTTTATTATGATGTGCCCTGTAGTTTCTCTCATGTTTCTTGTGCTTGGGGTTCATTGAAATTCTTGGGTTTGTGGGTTTCACGTTTTTTGGAAATTTTGGAGCTATGATTTCCTCCAATATTATTATCTGTCCCCAAGACGCTCTCCTTATTTAGGGGACACCAGGTATACATATAAACAGCTGCTTGGAGTTTTCCCAGAGCTCACTAAGCCTCTTGTTTTCATTGTTTGGTCTTTTCCCCTCTGCATGGGTTTCAGTTTAGTTAGCTTCTATTTCTATGCCTTCAAGTTCTCTAATCTATTCTTTTGCAATGTTGTATCTGCTGTTAATTCTATCCAGTGTATCCTTCACTTAGACAATTTATTTTTTATCCCTAAGGGCTTGCTTTTAGGCATTGTTAGGGCAAAACCAGAGCAGCAGGTCTTCAGGGCAAAAGCTCCCACTACAGGCAAAGCCTTTCTGGTGTCCTGTGGATAATGAGCTATTCCACATTGATGGATGGAAACGGGAACTATTCCTGGACTCTGGAGCTGTGGGATTGGTCCCTCTACTCCTTTCAGGTGATCTTCCTCTGGCCTTGGGTCATTTCTTCTCAAGTGTGTGGTGATTTAGCTGAAAACTAAAGAGGATCTTCTGCAAATCTCCAAAGTCCTTTCTCCGTGAAGCTCTCCCCTCTCTCATGCCCCTCCCTGTGCTCTGCTGCCTCTGCCATCTGGTCACCTGGCTCTGCCCCCACTCAGGGGGTCAGCAGGCTTTACCTGGCTTCTCTGGGCAATATCAGAGCCCTCTACAGGCCATAAGCGGGCAGTCATTGGCTTACCTCTAGCTGCGTGACAGGCCCTCCAGATGTGTGACAGGGACTCCAGGTGTGCGACGGGCCCTGCAGGTGTGTGACAGGGCCCCCAGGTGTGTGACGGGCCCGCCAGGTGTGTGACGGGTCCTCCAGGTGTGTGACCGGCCCTGCAGGTGTGTGACCGGCCCTCCAGGTGTATGACGGGGCCTCCTGGTGTGTGATGGGCCCTGCAGGTGTGTGACCGGCCCTGCAGGTGTGTGACGGAGCCTCCAGGTGTGTGACAGACCCTCAGGTATGTGACTGGCCCTGCAGTTGTGTGACCGGCCCTCCAGGTGTGTGACGGGCCCTTCAGGTGTGTGACCGGCCCTCCAGGTGTGTGACCG